GAGAGCGGGAGGTGTAATTATCTATCAGGTGTTCGGGTGTGCGTGACAGAAGAGGAAGCTCATTAGCACACTCTGTGTACACCAATTACACAGCCAGGCTTCTCAGGGCATTCCCCTGGCATGTGTGTGTTTGGTGTGTGATGCCGGCAGGGACACACACAAACGCAATCTTACAAAACACCACTTTTATGTACTTTGAATCATTTGAGTCACAGAAGTGGGTTAAAGATTTTTTTCCATTTATTTATAAAATATGGAAACATTTAGGACTTTCTGAATAAATATATATATATAAATCCCGGTCCGGGGACCTTTCTGGGTAGAGTTTGCATGTTCTCTCCGTGCATGCGTGGGTTCTCTCCGGGTACTCCAGCTTCCTCCCTCAGACCAAAAACATGACTGTTAGGTTAATTGATAACTCTAAATTGTCCCTAGGTGTGAGTGAGAGAGTGAATGGTTGTTTGTCTMGTTTGTCTCTATGTGTGGYCCTGTGATGGACTKGMGACCTGTCCAGGGTGTACCCCGCCCCTCGCACTGTGACTGCTGGATATGGGCACCAGTGACCCACGCAACCCTGAAAAGGAAGAAGCGTGTACAGAAAATGGATGGATGGATGAATAAATATATGTGACCCAACACATCGAAACGAGGATCAAGTTGTATAAGGAGAAAAAGACAAATACAGTGTTTTGACTAAAATGTTAACAAAATTGCATTTTGTCAAAATATAATGAATAAAAGCCTTATCAATGTATCAGTTGAATGAACTGTCTGAAATATAATCATAAAACAAAAGTTTGAAGCACTTTTTGAGCAGTAGCAACAAAAAAACTGATTGAGGAAAAATGCCTTAAAATTTTAAGATTTTCCCTGTGAGTTAGCAAAGTTTTATTTCTTTTTATCTGGTAAATCTCACTATTGAAATATAATTTGAGGTTTCCTCTTTATAAGGACATCAAAAATTCCTCATTAAAATGACAAAAAATTAGGATTCAGACCAAATATTTATGTATTATTGTAACCAACAAGACAATTTAAGTCATATACAGTATATGCAGGCAGTGTGGTCGGTGGACGCGCCGTCACGTAAACATGTAAACAGTTCGGTGTTCATTTTCACACACCTGAACCTGGTCTGGATAAGTTTTTTTCCCCTCTTCATTTGTGCTCTCAGCCACGCTGCTTCCTGCTTCCTCTGTTTTGACTCCAGCTGGTTACATCATCAAAAAGAATTGCACGGTTGGCCGGTAGACTACAAATCTCTATCATAGGACAAATTTGTATCGTTTCTACCGTATATCGTTGATATCGCGCATTCCTAATAGCCATCTCTGTGAAGTCCTTCGTGTCTCAACCACTAAACTTTCTCCTAACATGTCAGCCATCCTTCAATCCAAAGGACAGCATCACTGCTCACTGCTGCCACTGAGTGCAATGTTCTTCACATAGGTGAGTTTGAAATACACACATTATTGATGTATGAATGTATCTCATTACAGTAAAACTGATCCATTTATGTTTTCATTATACCAAAATGGTAGTTAACCAACCCCTCACTTGACCTTAAAACCCCCTCGATACAACTTTACCCCCCCCACCCCCCGCCCCCAGAACCCATGCGATGACTAACCACAGTGACCTTATGCTCAGTACTAAACAAACACTATTAGACCATTTGCACAGTTGGACTTTGAGTTCAGATCAACTCCCTGAAGGATGATTCAAACAGAGAAAGTTTGAGTTTATTTTCTATAATTTGTATTTTCTGTTTAAGCCACAGGACATGCATGAAGCTGCAGTAGACAGGCTTATTTTCCTTGCCAAAAATGTGTGTGTGTGTGTGTGTGTGGGGGGAGAGATACATCAAGAATGTACTTACTGACTTTGCTTGAATGTATGTTTTAAACAGGACTGTTAATTTTGTTTACACTAATTTTCAAACTAGCATATTATTAAAAGAGAATTTTTAAAAATATTTTCTGTAATTTGTGTTTAAGAAAGCAAAGGAACGATGCAAATCGATTAAAATCGAAAATCGAATTTGGGATGAAAAAACAAATAGAGATATTTTTTTAGGCCATATCGCCCAGCCCTAGCAGTGTGTGGCCCGGCCCTTTGCTTATTTTTCTGTATTTGGCCCTCACTAAAAAAAGTTTGGACACCCCTGTCCTAATACTTCTCAGTCCAGCCCTTCTCAAATTAAAAAAATGCCTTTAGGGAAATGTATTTTCTGATAAAAAGGAGACTACCCTCTTTTTAAGCTTCCCATGAATGACACAGTTCTTAAAAAATGGTTGGATTTCAATTTTTGGAAGTAAGCCTCCGACAAAAAAAAAAACAAATTTATAAATTAAAAATAGTGCCACTTTATGGATGATAGCTTTCTGAACAAAAGGGAAATTAACAGTGGACTAATAAGATTATCACTAAAAGACAAAGCAATTCCAACAGTCAGAAGGACACAAACACCGTTGTTGTCTGACCAGCTTAAGGCTGCGTTACACTGCAAGATTTTAAAGCAGTCAACCCATTTTCAAAGACTGAGAGCCTACACATGAGGATAAAATATCATGATATATCAGGTCTGGTCTTACAGTGTGTGGTGTACAGCCACACTGCAACAGTCAACACACTACACAAGAAATTATATTTCTTTCATGAAATATGAGATGCCAGATGTGAAATCACGCAAGACTTGTTAAAACCTTGTGAGAATTCAGATGTCAGAGGAAAAATTTTGGGTGACCTCCAGAGAGACGCGAGTTCAGAGCAAATAAACATTTAATACGAGGAAGAAACAATGTTGATCATAACATCTTACTGTCACGATTAGAGCAGCTGGTTGGTATTAAAGGCACAGTTTTATCATGGTTTAGAGCCTACTTAACAAGCAGGAGTTTTTCTGTTCATTTAGGAGATAGCTCCTCCTCTACAGCTCCTCTTACTTGTGGAGTCCCACAAGGCTCTATTCAAGGCCCTCTGCTTTTTAATCATTATATGTTGCCTCTGGGGTCCATTTTTAATAAATATAAGATTCCTTTCTATTGTTTTGCTGTTGACATTCAGGTCTACCTGCCTATCAAGCCAGGTTTGATTAATTCATTCAAATCCCTCCTGAGCTGTCTGAATGACATTAAAATCTGGCTGAAATTAAATTTCCCGAATCTAAAGTAAAGTAAGACAGAAGTCATCAGCTTTGGTAAAGACATTTCTCCTGACAGTCTTGGTCCTGTGGCTTCATTCAGCTGCTCTGCTGTCAGAAAGTTGGGTTTCATTTTTGATAATGTGTTCAAATTGGACAAACATAAACTCAGTGGTTAAATTGAGTTTTTTCCAGCTAAGACTTATTGCTAAGGTGAAGCCGTACCTCCCAAACAAAGACCTTGAGAAAATGATTCATGCTGTCATTACATCTGGTTTGGATTATTGTAATTCTTTGTATGTTGGTTTAGATAAATCTTCTCTGCATCAGTTACAAGTTGTCCAGAACGCAGCAGCTCGTCTTTTAACAGGAACTAAAAAATACGAACACATATCCCTGGTTCTGGCTTCTCTCCATTGGCTTCCTGTTCATTTTTGGATAAATTTTAAGATTGTATTTCTTACTTTTAAAGCTTTAAAAGGTCTGGCCCCATCCTACCTGTGTGATCTCATTAACATCCACACTTCAGTTAGAGCACTTCAGTCCAACCAGTTCCTCTTAGATGGTCCTGGATCCAGACTAAAGTTTAGAGGTGATCAGGTCTTTGCAGTCTCCGCACCAAAACTCTGGAATGATTTACCTCTTAGCGTACAGACTGCTGAGACTGTTGAGACTTTTAAATCTCTACTTAAATCTCACTTTTACTCCCTGGTCTTTCATTCTGGTAGAGTTTGACATTCTTTTAATGATAATGTTTTTAATGTTTTTCTGTATTTTAAATTGATTTTATTGTCTACATTTATGTGTTGCTCAATTGTTTTATTCATTTGGCTTAACTGTGAAGCACTTTAGCTAACTTTTGTTGTTTTTATGTGCTATATAAATAAAATTGACATTGACATTGTTGAGAGTTTGTGGACTATTTTTATCAGAGGAAAAACAATTCAAAATGACTTCATGTCCAGCAGACTTTCTGGTGAGTCATGACAGTTTCATGTCTTCTGTATTTTGGAATCCCCTCCAGGTTTATGTTATCTCACTTTGTGATTGGCTACACATCACATTCAACAGGCCGAAATCGGAGCGGTCCCGACGTCCTTCCAAGCTGACTAGATCGCTCAACTCCCCACACATGGCAGGACGATCTGCTCAGATTATCTGTAGTGTTTTTATGATAACCTGAACATCCTTAAGATCGTCAGAAGAGCAAAAATCAGCACAATTATCCTGCTGTGTGAAAACTGAAAAACAACTCTTGTTGTTTTGTTTGTTGATCTACGGTTACCATTTGTAACTAATATTATGATCATTAGTTGTGTGATTGTGAGGATGACTGGGAGGCATCTTACCAAGCTGAAATGTCGTCGCTCTACCTGCTCTGGTTTTTTAGAAAACGTACTTTCCGGGTCCGACATGGGATCTTTCAAGTAAGGTTCAGTTGTATCCTGAGTTGCCATTTTTCAAAACTGATATTGTATAATGTTGCTGCTTTTTAAAATTGTTATTCCAACAAAATACAGCGCACCTATGACCTGTTGTAAGCGGCATGAAGCTGTTGTGATGACGTGCTGATACGGGCCTGACAGATTCAGTAGGAGGTTCTTAAAGAGACTGAGGCCAATTTCAAGGCATTTAGAAACAGCTGTGCTGCGAACTCAGAATTATATTCAATTTATATAAATTGACTGCATTTTCATAACAACTGAAGGTGTCATAATTTCTTTATTTGGGTATAGAACTGAAATATTTGCCTGAAAAACACATAATATTGACCCTTTAATGATAAAATGCCAGTTCAGATAGGTCCAACTTTCAACCAGTAAAAAAACTGAATTATAAAAAGTTTTAAACTCTTTACCTGTGAAAGTTGTTGCTGGATGAAACCACTCCCACATTGGCCACAGACAGAACTTGCTTGCTGATGGTTTGGATAGAGGCGTTGGCCGTTGCCATAATGATGGTTGCAGAGGTCTCATTCATGCCCTGGAGCTTTTCTGGAAATATTAATTTAAAAAAAGTCTTGAATAACACGCAACAAACAGAGCATAATTTGCTCCACTAAAATCGTCTAGATTTAACTGGGATGATTTGGTTATTTCACAACATTCCTGATTATAATTCAACAGTTAACTCCTGGACACTGAAAACCTTCCAGTATGCAAATAATCTGAACCCAGAGTAAAAAGGGTGATCAGTTCATCTGCACTTACTGCTGAGAAAAAAATGTAAAAATACACAATGGAGACAAATATTAACAATTTAGTTAGAAATGAAAGTGCTCTTAAGATCAAATATAACAGAAGTGTATAAGCTAAAAAGACCGATTGACTTTACTGCACTAGTATATGCAAAAAGCATAATTGCTAGAAAGGAAATGGTCCCACAGAACAGGTTCTTCTGTTTTAAATGCTCCATTTTAATACCTGAGAACAGAAACATTCAGTCCAGCTCAGAAATGAGTGAATAATGTCAATTAATAAGAGGCCCTTATAATGACATTCATGGCTCAGGTCTTTGCTCCCAGCTCCCAATAACACCCCACCCCACCAGAAGATTAAGATTTTAAAAAGGAATTTATTGTTTTACTAAAACACATGACTGTGTTGTAGATTATAACAGCACACCTAAAACATGGTTTCATACCGGTTCAGTGCAACAGGAAAAAGAAACAAATTCCAAGTTTTGTTTTCTTCTTTTCACTCTCAGAGACAAAACGAAACCAGCTTTATTAGAGGGGAAACTCTAATGTAGCAGGCCATGTTCAACAAAGCAGGCTCTGTCAACTGCTGGCTTCACTATAAAACTAAAAAACAAATCATAATGTACCATCTTCTTCATGCAATAAATCTAACAAAGCCTGTCTTACATGCTGCTTATTAAACAAATAGTCCAAGAGATAGACCATGTTTATCTACATAAAAGTACCAGCAATTTTATTGGTACTCCATTAAAGTACATCCCTTCCAGGTATAAAAAACCCATTTATTACAAAATTTCTCTCGGACACAAAGTCAGAATTCAAGATTAATGCTAAAAATCATGGCTTTGACTATGTCTATATAATATCTGACCATAATTGCCAGATCTTTTGCTTCAGATCTGTTTTTTTGGTACCAAAATGTTAAAAACTGATTGCTTAATTAAACCCAGGTAACTAATATTAAACTTATAAAGCCATTTACAACTGGAATCTACAAAAAGTGCCAAAAAGTGTCAAAACTTGAGCTTTTTTGAAAATCTGGTCATGCACTTTCCCCAACTGTTCTGTCAGTATTTCTTAAAATGGCACCAAAAATATCTTCAGACACTCTGCTAATTAAAAACATAAGATAAGATGTACAGTTCCATCTTTTTTCATTCTAGAAGCAAACAAATTACGCCAATTACGTACAATATTTGAAATTTGGTGTGTATCAATAATTTAGAGTGTTGGCGTAATTTGTTTGTCTGGTGGTAGATTTTATGACCTCTAATAGCCTGATTATAAACAGTAGGTCTTCTGAACTTAACATTTGATTTGCTTTGTGATAAAAAGCTTTAAGTAACATCTTCCTCTACTCCGTTACAAAGTGGAAGTTAGGGAAAAGCAAATGTTATTTTTAAAATGCTTCAGCTGACGGTCTCCACTGAATTCTGGCATTGGTTTTGTAACAGCTCTGATTTGTAAACAAGATTTCTGTCCACAAACTGTGTGAGCAGATTGTATCAGTACAGACAGTACATTTAACTAATATGTTGTGGTGTATAAAGACTAGCTAAAAAACAAAAGAATTAACATAAAACAAAACAACAAGCCATGTTTATAGAGACAGCTGTTCTGATGTTTCAGTAAGCTTTCAACGGCTCTAAACTCACTTTGCTCCTTGCAGAAGTCTGGTTCTGTCATGGTACTGGGCATCAGCAGCTCTCCTACAGCGGGCTGGATGGACACACTGAACTGGTCCTCCTTTGTACTGCAGAAGGAAACACAGGATTACAACAAAATATAACAAAAACTCAAAAACAAAAACAGAAATGGGACACATGTCCTATTAATGTGGGCATGCTGGTGTTTTTGTGTTTTAAAACTTCAGAATGCAGTCTCAGTAGATCCAGTAATATGTTTATAAGTTGAACCAAGATGTTACATACAGTATATATAACAACCTTTTTTCTCACTGTTTGACAGACAAAACTGGAAGCAGACCTGTGCTTGTACACTATTTAAGGCACATAACCGGTTTCTTTGAGCATCATGAGAAAATCAGAAAAAATCAGCCAAGTTATCAGGAAGACAACAGTTCTCCACCCTAACTCTGCCTCATCCTTTGGTACATTTTCCAGATGCCTGAAGGTCCCACGTTAATTAGTTCAAACAATTTCACACAAGTAAAACACCACGGGGAAGTTGTGCCATCATGTCGCTCAGGAAGGAGATGGATTCTGTGTTCCTGAGATAAACCTGTTGTGCTGTGAAATGTGTCAATCAAGTGCAGACCAAGAGTAAAATACCCGGTAAAGATGCTGCTGAAGCTGGTCAGAGTCATTACCCACAGTGCAACAAGTCCTGTACTGACATGAGCTGAAGTTAGTAATTACAGATTAGAGATTCGCTTTATTGTCATTCAAACATAACATCAGGGGTGCAATGTAGAATGAAGGTTTCAGTTAAAGGGTCTATATCATGTAAAATCAATTTTTTGAGTTTTATATCATGTTATAATGTTATACTCTCATAAAAACATGCCCAAAGCCTTGCTCTGACTCATTCATGCATGTTTGAGAAATCCTGCAG